GCATTACTTTCTCTCTTCATATTAGGTTCAGAGATCCACAATTTCACACCGGTCCACGTACCGCGCCGTGTTGATTTGCAAGAAGGTCACGTGGAATAACGTTTGATGATAATGAAATGACGATCTGGGCTGTCCTGGTGACGCCGCGTCGAAGGCGGGATGGCGACGTTTCGACGCGAGGTATCGCGGGCGTCTTCAGGGCTGTACCGCAAGGCACTACCCTGGCGGCGGCGACGGCATACTGCAAGGCAGTTAACCTGAAGAGGACCGCGATATGTCGGTACCGTCAGCCTTCCCGCGCGTCACCCGGACAGCCAGACCATGATTCTGGCGCGGAAGAACCCGATATCATTGATAATGAAATAGTGGACTGATGTTAAAAGAGTTATGCTGACCCTCTCCCCCTCGGAGCGCCTGCGACTGAAGGGCGTGTGCCTGCAGGGGCGTGACGGCAGCGCTGCTCCTGCTGCTGGCGGCGGGGACGGCCTACGACATACGGCAGCGCGCCACGCGGCCTTTCGACGCCGAAGGGCCGGTCATCAAGACGCTGGGCGCGGGCGAGAAGGACGTCGCACCCTCAGGTAGGCCCTTTGCTTCCTAAGCGGCCCATCTCGCTATTCCACGCACGAAGATATGCCATTCATTAGTATTTATCCCCGGATTCACATCGGCTGAGTTCAGGGAAATAACTGTTGCCACTGCAGGGTCTCTGGCCAGGAGGTCCCTACGGTTCAAGCCCTTGTGAGGGAATTTCGACACTAGCTAGTTGGCTCAGCTGCTTTGATCCATGGTTTTTCGTTGGTTTCTCCGATCATTGGTAGAAGAATGTCTGAGAAGTACTTTCGCAGACCGGCCACGGACAGCGGGCGCTCTTTCTTCTTCATCTTTGTTCTTTCCTCACTCTCTGTTTTCTTACACAAACACACTAGCAAAGTACTACACGTACAGTGTTAACGAACATAGCAGTTCGGGAATACGAAATAATAAATCAATTAATCCCCGGCCACACATGGTAGATTAGAAGCTGTTGGACTGCACTTAGGTATATAAGTCAGGAGTAAGGACTGTTACTGCTATTTTGATTATTAGTGCACTTGTGATCCACGGAGATTTAAAACGTCATTCGATTATTAGATTCTTCGACAATTTAGCTTAAATTATAAGATCTGAGACAACGGTATAACGCTTCTTTTCTATCTTGTCTTCAACAAAAATTCAAGTCCTTTTAGAACGTTCAATTGTATTTTTCGAAATGCTCCCTCGCTCTTTACAAAACGTAACATTGTTAACTCAAAGAAACGTAACTCGGCCCCTTGCAGAAACACGAAAACTTGGTTTTTAAGCCCCTAGAACTCATCGTTTTGCGGAATGTTGCGTCAATGTTTTTTTCTAAACTGTCAAAAACCGTCATAATTCCATATAATACTGTACAAAGTGGAGATAAGAAAATTAATGGTAATGAGGTAACAAACAACAATGTCTATTAGACAGTAAACTTGAGGTCTGGAGAGTTCATGCTCCTAAGTGAAACCTGAGTTTCATAAGTTGCTAGCTTCGTTACTTTCTAAACCCATTTGCCATTTACAGTTATGATGTTCCTTGAACGACGGTTATTAAAGAATACATTCGCATAAGTGGGTAGTGGGCTATCATGTTACCTATATTTCTCATTTGTAAGCTTGATGTCGTTGATTTCAAAGCACCAAGGAACCCTCCTTTGGTATATCAACCTCTCTGGCCATGTAGTGAATCTAGGAATCAAAAGTCACAAAGAATGGAGGCCACGGGCTCACAGAATGAACCTGCGTCCAATGCAAATGTCGAAATCGCACCGAAGGATGTAGTTACTGTTGATTGTTAATGGACGGAAACATGAAACTTATGCGATAGGACTGTGGGGACATAAACTTGAAATACAGCTATATGTCCTTTATACCTACTGGCATTTATAACCACGCACATTAACTAGAATTTGAAAAATTACTAAAAGGGTAATAACACATTCTTCAAACATTTAAGATGAAATATATTCTTCATAACATTATACAACTTTAATTTTCGCTGCTAATCTATATCACTTTATTATTGTCTTTAATTCTTCTGTATTGTATTCTTGACTAGTGTTTTCAATATTGTGGACCACTTAAGTATTTCGCTATCTCAATTTTCGTTTTTAAGTGTAACTACTGTAGCTGAAACAAGAAACAAGAGTGAAATAGTTGAAAGAGAAAAACTGTCGTCGAAACAAGAGTGAAATAGTTACAACAGAAAAGTACAACGTAAGCACAATACGGACAATCAAACACCTCAAAGATATTGTTTCATGTCGGTTTGAACTTGTTCTTCCAGTCGTTATGAAATAATTGAGGTTTAAAAATGTTTGAACAATAATAAATTCTCACTGTTAAAACAAGAGTAAAACGTGTATCTGAAATTGTAATTGAAATGTTCTATATTTACTAAGATCTGCTCGTGTGTGTTTGTAGTAGACCACAGCAGGAAGTGCTTAACTGCTATCCAGGGTAACTCAAAAACATAACGCATTATAAATAGTTACAATCACTGGATATTTTTAGTAAAAGAACACGTGTATAAGATGATTGCTGAACTTCCAATAATTCGCTATCTTTGTACTAAAAACACGCAATCGTCGGATATCAAAAAATTAGCTCTGTTTGCTTCGCTAACTATAGCGTACGCTTCTCAGGCTACGAAACGTCGATTACTTCAGGAGAGTGGGCGTCAAGCTTGTCAAGTTTCTAAGAAAACGAATCATTTGTAAATGGTACTGGGACATGCCAAAAAAAATCCACGACGAAATGAGAAATTTCATCACACTATCCCCATTATCAGATGTCTGATTAACTAACGCAAAACCTAACGGACATAACCTCAAGAGTACAGCATTGACTATGACCTGGCGGTGACAGTTGAACAGGAGTATCCGAATAGCTGTTTTCGTGAGTCATATGTTTGAGCTCAGTGGAGCGACTCCAAGTTAGAAAGCCCGATCGTGGCGCTGCGATGCACTGGAAAATTCCCCGTTCGCACTAGTAGCTAGAGATCGACGAATTGGCGAACCCTACTTTACATCAACTTCCGTTACAAAATGACGAAGACCATCTACGAGTACTTGGTCTTGGAAAGAACGCAATGAACAAATGACCTAAGATTAGCGTTCAGTCGTAGGATTTTATTAACATGTAGTATTTATATTATAAACTAGAGGCAGTACAAGATCACATATTTTCTCGCATGGTTAGAAATAGTTACGTAATATTAAAACACTAATTTCTGCCATACTAAAAGCTCATTTATATTTTGAAAAAGTCGAATTCCAACGAATCGCCTCTCGTGTTTATCTGCATTTATTTCCATTGTCAGGAAGTGTAGTAATGTCTTACTTTTAGAAATGAAATTATTAAATTTAAATGTTACAGTATTTATACAACGTTATACCGAAAAGCAAGAATAATTTCACACATGGATACCTTGACTACATTGGAAGTGAGCTTTCAATTTTTTAATTCGATAATCAGTTGAATTGAAACGTCTTTTAGTATAGAAGTGTTAGTTTTAAGTTAAAATTATATATTATGACTGGCCAATATCTAAAAACAATATTTTTTTTATTTTCTTATTTAAAATTTTATTACAAGACGTTTTCTAACGAGAACATCTTTTCCGGATGTTTTTCCATCCCATCCTATAGGCAAACGTTTTGCCGTCATTCGATTTTTCGGTATCAGGGACCTACAAAACATGGATTCTGAACACCCCACGTGTTAGACGATTTCTTGTTTAAAATTTAGCAACTGGATTTATCCACTTTTCCGTTACCAAAACCCGGCGATAAGAGTTTTTCTGCCCAGAATTTGCCGTTTCTTCCCGCAACTGTACATAACTCTACAATATCTGCTCCCGTGGCCAATAAAGGCGTAACACGCTGGTATATATTTTTTCACATGAAATGATTAACCCTGTGTATATGTACGTACTTTTCAAAGTCAAATCCTTATTTCATTCCAAAACCTATGATGTATATATTAATTAATTACTTTTTAAAAACCCGCAGCCATGACGAGCTTGAAGCTACATCGCAGCACCAATTTATTTACAGTGGGCGTCGCGAGTCGTGTCCTCCTCGGCTTCTCCGCAGTTTCCAATGGGCACAAAATTCTCCAGACGTCCACCGAAGAGAATTTGTCCTGCATCCACGGGTTGAGGTTTCTCAGCTTAGCGTGGGTCATCATGGTGCACACGTATCTCAACGCTTTTGCAATAGCAGGTGAGTACCTTCAACATTTTTTAAATTTTTCAAATACAGTACAACCCCGGTATTCCGAACGTTTCTTGAGGGCGTGGTCTGTTCGGATTCGGAAATGTTCGAATTATCCGAAAACATGTACGGTACATAAACAAATACGTATGATTACCAGACACAAAGCAATGAAACCTGCAATGTAAGAAAATTGCAACGAAGTGAAGCGACCCGACTAATGGCGATGTTGCGAACAAGTACGAACATAACCGATCTCCTGAGGCAGTGGTTTCTAAACTGTTTTCAAGAGTTGAAGCACGGTTTGAGTCCCTGCTGTTAACGAGTATTCTACGTACAGTATTCAGAATAAATTTGGTTGATTTAAATTGTGTTGATGCTTTTTGGTTCACACATTACATTAATACAAAGTAAAGTACATGTTTTTGTTTATTTTTTCCTCTATCCCCAATTTTGTTCAGATTACCCGAAATTTCGAATTTGCAAGGCTCGATTTAGCGGGGTTCTACTGTATACAGTAGTTGCACATTTAATCAAGATTAACAATTTTGAATTCTAGTTTTTGTTTGACTTTTCAAAACATTTCAAAATACTTTTCTTGTTTCTTCAAACTCGCTTAAAATTGTACAATTATTTCGTTGATAAAGATAAATGTATTCTTTTAATGGTAAAGTGCTTCCATTTTATAGCATATTAAACAAAACATTTTGTTCTATTGCAGAAAACAAAGGACTGAGGTCAGTGACGGAGAGAAATACGCTCTTCCAGACCGTCAGTAATGCTACTTACTCTGTGGACACTTTCTTTTTCATCAGGTGAAGAACTGACGCATTTCACATACAGAGAGAATTGCATTATTTCATTATTTTCTTATTAAATTATGCATTACATAAACATTTGTGCCATATGTCAGGAAAATGTTTGAATGAAGAATTCTTTCATTTTTCGAATGGGGTTATTGTTTTATTAAATCACTCAGTTACTTATTGAATAAAGCAACAGTGTGAAATAAATTTCCAAGCTTTTATAAATCAACCATTCTCGCTTACGGGCAGACAGCACTTTTAACAGACAAGGATATTTGATAAAAAGTTAAGAGGTTAGTTCAGATTAAGACATTTAGTTAAATTTAGGAAGTTAATGCAATTATTGCACTCTTAAGTATACAGCTTCTATCTATTCGAAATGTTAAATATTACTCTCATTCGACAATTTGAAATCTGACTAATGTTTTCCATTTTCATGATCGTTTATTTGCTTTACCATTGAAAATGAGAACTAATAGAACTACGTTTGGGAAAATAACTGTCAACAGACTTTTGCAAAAAAATGTCATGGATCCAGTGACGTACCACAACTCCGGAACAATTTGAAAAACTCTTACTTTTAAATCTCACGTCATTTGATCTGGACGAAGTGACTGCACACTCTAGAAAGCTCGTTACATTGCCCGTGACCTTACATGCCAGGTTTAAATTGATATGATGCGATTTAAGAGTGTAAGAAATACTTTTCATTAGAAATTAAGGGAAAATTGAGGAGAGTGTATGAGTAGCGTGAGTTCCAATTGCCTTTGAGAAAATTCACACAAAAGTTTGCAAAAGACAGAACGCCTCGTTGGTACAAGAAGTAGCTTCTGCATTCTGTTTTTTAATAAATCTTTAAGTATATTCTGTCATTGAGAATGATTACTGATGTAAACATAAAATTGAGAACAAGAGAATTAATCATCATATATTCTAATTTATTGTTTTACCAACAAAAAAGTTGCTAAATGCAATGCCAAAGGCAACGAGTAGAAAGTAGTGATGGACTTTTGGTGCTTTCGTTGCGTAACCTGATGCTTATCGTGTTCTAGTGGACTGCTGCTGACCTTTGTGTACTTCCGCAACAAGGACAAAGGCGAGCCCAAACCAGGCCCCACTTTCTTCAGCGGCACTCGCCAGTTCGTGCTCCTCCTCGTGTACCGCTTCACCAGGTACAACAAACACGCATTCAAACACCGCCTCGCACATTAAACCACATAATTGTTAAAGGGAACATTTACTAGACATGCCAATTATTAGCACCACATTCGTTCTATTCAAATACACAAAAAACCTTTTAAACGTACACAAAAACCGTCTTAAAAACTCGAATTATTTTGTTTAAGATATTTTTCTTTGATACTACACAGATTTGCAACATCAGTTGTGATGGGTTACCATAAGAGCTCTGCATTTAGTTCAAATTCCTGAATGTTAGGCGTCGATATTCTGTAAACTATCTTGGTGGAGACTCGAAGCGCACTTATTCAGATGTTTATGGCCTGGAGATCGAAACGACAGAGAGATAATAGTAGGTGTGTCAATCAGATCACCAAAATATACGTTATAACTGAATTATTCCTCGAATGATATTGCAAAATATAAAACGTATAGGAATGACCTTCAGTTACTTCATCAACTTCATCATACATGGGTCACTTTCGATAACATTATCAAAAAAATTGAATTTGATCTTTTTTAAATTTATTATCGATTACTTTAGGGGAAGTTTAAGTATTTCTTTGCTTATCAATTAATGTCAAAATACTGTCGGTAATTTTTTTTTTTCGTAATTTCAATGACGTGCATCATTTTTCCTTTTAATTAAAAAAATCTTTAACTATTCCGTGAAAACATGCGTCTTAATACTGCTTTCAATCGATTCATTTTTCATATGTGCATTTTCGGTAAAAAGCTGATATGAACTGAATATTTTGATGTTAAATTGTTTTTCTCATGATCTATTTCAATGTGTTGAAGATTACGCGTAACTCCTTTTAAATTCTATAGTTATTAAGAAACTACGAATTAAAAATAATTATCAGTAGTTTCAAAGAAAAAAGGCCATTCTATATAATTGCTCAGATGAAAAAAATATTGCCAAAGAACAATGCTATGCTGCACATTCACAGATTTGAACAATCAAATGTCCCCAGATTACAGTGAACCTTACCCTCTGAATGTTGTAAATTTTAATTAATAAAAAAAAATTCGAGTGCATAATACAACCTCAATTTCTTGACACACACTAATCATTTCAGGATCGAGCAAAGTGGCTCGGGTCGTAGCGCGCATTCGGGCAGCCTAGATTCAGTCCCCATGCCGCCATCCTGACCCAAGTTTTCGTGGTTTCCGTAGGTCAACCAGGCAAATGCTGGGTTCTACTGACAGGCCACGACCGCAAAACCAGCGTCGCTAGCCGAATTCGTTAAATACGTGAAAGTCACGAATGTTAAGCGAATTCGAGTCAACGCGAGTTCCTTGTTAGGTGATCGACTAGGAACCCGCGTTGTAACGGCGCCGAGGCCAATTGCTATTTACGGGACGTGTAACGGCTAAATACAAACACACATCATTTTCAGTGAACTTTCAATCTAAGAAATTAGTCCGGATTTTCACTTCCTAGTCACCAAAGCGCTCTCCCCTGGGCAGGTTGACGCCTGCGTACCTGTACGTGCTGGGCATCGCGGAGCTGTCCATGCGCTGGGTGGTGAGCACGTCGGTCTTCACGCCCAAGTTGGCTGACCACATCACGTGCTCGCGCTACTGGTGGCGCAACGCTCTCTACATCAACAGCCTGTTCCCGAAGAACGAGATGGTAGGTGGCGGGTTTGCGCCAGGCGACGGCAGACGACTGGCAGGGCGCGGCCCATACAAATTCCACGGACACGAAGGCTTGCGATGTTTTGAATGATTTACGTGGTCACTGCGAGGCCTGTTGGCACTTGAACTTTCATGACTATAAATTTACAAAAAAATGAAAGTTTCTTTCTTAAATAAAAATAATAATATTAATATTATCAAAATGTTTGATTTGCACAAAACCCCTCCAATGTAAATGGATTGCTGAACTAACAAGCTCTACTTTGCCATTCCAGATACACCTTCCGGTACATCTACTACGTTACGACTTATCTCATCTTAAAACGAGAGCGACGGGCGATATGTACACATTCCAGAGCCCTAATCAATTAATTAATTTATATTAATTTACAATCAAATCCACCTTCAAATAAATTATTCAAAATATTATCCATATAAATATTTTTATTGTAATCCATCTCTACTTGATTATTAGCTACACCTTGACCTGACATAATATTCTCTCGTATCTTTTTGCGATAGTGTTAAGTGAAATTGTGTTTTGCATTCTTTCACGTACATGGATGTTCATAATTTTTCAACAGAAATTAGAAAAAATAATTCTTAAGACAATACATTTTTTCTTGAGTCTCAAACTTTGTTTCGATTGAAAAAAAATAAGCATACGAGGCGTGAAAAAAATAACAGCAAATATACGTTGTTTTTAACACATGTCTTCTTTTCACTAAACAGTAGTCCACATTAGTGAATTTTTGTTTTGTATTTTATGTATGTACTGAAGTAACAATATAACTCCTTTTTTGGAGTTAGACTCGCCCAATTTCACATTCCTACGACAACTTCATATGCGACTGTCGCCGCTACTTACTACGCGCTTTAGGCCCCACCTAGTCTTGAACTAAATCCAGAATTACTTGTTTCCCTAGTGTGGGAAACTGGATTACAAACAAACGCATTCTTTGAAACAAGGAAAGACGCACATGAAATCAATTTTTTTCTCCGTGTTTGAGAGAGGAATGAAAGTGGCAAAACTTTTTCTTTAGAAATGCAAAACATTAAGTAAATACTCATTGCAGATTTAATGGTAGTGATTATGGACATCTTTTTGCGATAGTGTTAAGTGAAATTGTGTTTTGCATTCTTTCACCTACATGGATGTTCATAATTTTTCAATAGAAATTAGGAAAAATAATTCTTAAGACAATACATTTTTTCTTGAGTCTCAAACTTTGTCATACAATTAGAATGTTTCTAATAATTTGTTTATGTTTGTATTAGAATTCAAAATTAATGAGAGTTAAGTTTTAAAAACTCTGGGCTCGGACAGAACAACGGTTTATATTCTGCCGAATGTATGTCGTCACGTGGTTAAATCATTGATTTTTTCATTAGTTGTTTAATGACTGCTGGGCAGTTATTTCGTATGCCATTACGTACAGCACACATGACTGTTCTACTTGCATGATTTTGCAGCATATATCAAGTTTTGTCCAACTAGAAGAAATATTTTTATTAAGTTCTTTGAAGTCTAATTTTATTGTGCAATATATCGAACTAACATCAAGAAGTATAATTACTAGTTGTAGTTGGTAAAAGTAGGAAGATCATGAAATTTTGACACATAAAGAATCACATTTCCGCTTTGACAATAAATAAAAGTGTGTTTTTCGTCTCTTGTATTTCCCAGTACATTGTAGTATATTGAAGCATTTTAACTTTATTTACACAAGACTTTTTCTCATTTAGTGTATGCTGTGGAGTTGGTACATGGCAAACGACACCCAATTCTATATTTTGGGTCTAATACTCGTCCTCTTCGCTACAAGGTAAAATACTTCTACATTTCAATATTCTCAAACGTTGTCATTTTAGACATTGTAATCTGCATGCAATAGAAATTATTTTAATTGTGGAGCAACAATCAGATTTGATGGGTAATTATGATTATTGCTGGTGTTGAATTTTGTTTACAATCACATTTAACAAATACGATATAATCAGTCCTCACCTCATTATAAAAACATATTAAAAATATAATGTTTGGTGTGCTATTAACTTTCAGCTTTAAATTACTCATTAAATAATAATAATAATAATAATAATAATAATAATAATAATAAAATAATTATATTTATAATGAACAATGTCTTAAAATGATATTGCGTAATGTATAAAAACGCTTACAAATCGTCTTATTCATGCACTTTTAATATTCTCTTTTAAAAGACTAAAAACAAAATGTTCCTATTGATGTTCCAGCAAAGGAATCTACCTGAAAAATTAAGAATGGAAATATTTGAAAACACATCCTCTTTCAAATATTTCATTTCTTTTAAACAAATTGTTGTTATATTTGCTTAATGCAAATTAACGAGCACATTTATTTCATTTCAGATACTTCTGGCTTGTTGTCGCAAGTTGGGGAGTCTTTTTAGTCAGCTCGTGGGTCACAACAGCATTTATATCTGTTCATTATGAATACATCGCCAGGTAAGGTAAACCTTTTATAAAAGGTTTTCTTAAAAGTCTTCCTTAAAAGGGTTTTGTATTACCCTAATAAAAATAGTTACTATAGTGCCTTCTAAGAAAAAGTTACATTCGATACATGCACTACTGCACCATATAGTACTTTTTGTTGTAATATTTACCTCTTTTTTAGAGTGCAGGAGCCTTTCGCACTGTTTGACGAGCTGTATGATAAACCATGGACGCGAGTTGGGCCGTATCTTGTGGGAATGGCAATCGGCTGGTACCTGCAGAGAAACAAATGCAAAATTCATATGAATCTGGTATGTAAAATACAATAAAACTGGTTCTATTATGTACATTCACTTGCAATTCTTCTATTTCATGTAATGCATCATTGAAGGCAGAATTAATTTATTTTCTTTCTCTTTCCTCGAAGAACGGAAGCTTAAAAAAGAAAGAGAAAACATCTAAACAACACAAATGAGTTGATGATTAATTCTTCCATGCATAAATTATAATTTGACGCTGTCACGTACGGAAAAACGCAGTTTCTAGAACAGTAACTTTTTCATTATTTTCATTTTTTTCTATCATGCTCTCTTACGGATTGAATATAAATTAATTCTCAATGCAACAGTATCCGATAAATAATATGATTGTTGTTGTTGTTGTTATTGTTATTATTATTATTATTTTCGAATCGCCTCTCGTGATCATCTGCATTGATTTCCATTGTCAGAAATATTAGACGTGTATTACTTTTAGAAATAAAATGAACATGATTAAATGTTACAGTATTTACAGAACATTACACAGAAAAGCAAGAATAATTTCACACAAGGCTACCTTGATTACATTGGAAGTGAGCTTTCAATTCTTTTAATTCGATAATCAGTTTTAAGTTAAAATTATATATTTTGACTGGTCAATAACTAAAGACAATGTGTTTTATTTTCTTCTTTACAATTTTATTATAAAACGTTTTTGTATATGATAGTATACGATAACGTATACGATTGTTATTATTATTTTCATGCTAAGATATGTGGGAAATATGAGCACGAAATTGAAGTGTAACGAGACGCCGAGTAAAGGGAGAACCCGTAGAAAATCCACCGCGCACCTGCGTCGAACGTCACAAATTCCACATGGATTCCCAGGCATTTGCATGACCGGTACCCGGCGTTCCCGACCAGGGAGTGAGGCAGTGAGGGCGGCGCGCGCGTGCGCAGGTGGTGGCGACGGGCGGCTGGGCGCTGGCGCTGGGCTGCTTCGCGACGCTGGTGTACAGCGTGCTGCACGTCAAGATGACGGTGATCGGGTCGGCGGCGTACATGGCGCTGGGCCACACCGCGTGGGGCGCCGCGCTCGGCTGGGTGGTGGTGGCCAGCTGCTGCGGCTACGGCGGTGAGACACGCCCTCGCGCGCCCTCCCAATTACTTATTTAACACCAGGAAACAGTTAAAACTCTTGTGTGAGGTACTACAGGGAGACGTCTATTCAGTGCACGATTTTTTATTTTCTAGGATCGCTACCCCAAAAGTCGAATTATAAATACAGATAGAAACAAACTTTTTTGGTATGAATTAATAAGAAATTATTAGCTCCCACGTAATAAAAACCATTTGCGAAAGCAAATCAGCTGCAGATTTTTGCTCTTATCCCCAACGTGCTCTTCGTGAAGGAATTAACTTACTGCCACGAGAATAGATTAATTTGTAATTTGAAAAGCTATATTACCCACTGAACTATAGAGAACGTGCACATATTGTGAAGTTACATTAATATTCAGAATGAAAACAAGGGGACATCGTAGCATTCGCCCAAAAGTTTATTATTTTTCAGTGGACAACTTCTCTAAAGGATTGAACAATACTCGAAAAAACCTCCAGTAAATTTTGTTATTCTCTAATTGCTTTAAATCGCAATTCTTTATTTCAAATTTTACATTTACAAATTTTACACGAGGTTTTTCCATTTACCTAAAAAATATGTCACCAATCTATATAAAAATGCATATGAGCACGTTGTATTAATTTAGAAACCAATCTAATGTTGTTCTATAATCCTGTATTTGTGTTGTTGAAGGATTCATCAACAAGCTGTTGTCCTTCAAAGCAATGGTCCCCATGAGTAGACTTACATACTGTGCATACTTGGTGCATCCTATCCTTATGCTGATAACGTCTTCCCAGATGGACGGCCCTTTGCATTTGCACACGTCCATGGTGGTGAGTAGCGAGTGATCGTCATTTCTTTCATTAAACATGAGAATCAGACGCGGACGGTAAGTAACTTCACCACTTCCTTAAATGACATATGCGAGCAAACGTTTTCATCTTCTAAATATTAAGGATGAAGACTCAACTGCAAGCGATGTGATTGAAAGAAAATTCATCGTACATTAACGCAAAAACATTTGATTATTTGTTTCGAAAACGTCTTTAGAAAATTAAAACTGTGAACAAGGCTTGTATAGAATTAATTTAACTTTTCTATTATATTTCGTTATTTCGCAGAAAAACTGTTTTCTCTTACAATTTTTATTTGTAATTGTTTCAGTTAATAATATTCCTGGGAAACCTAATGATGTCTTACACGGTATCATTTATGATCTCTCTCGTATTGGAAGCTCCTTTGGTCAATATTCTGAAAATATGTATGGAACCTAGGAAGAAAGCCAAGTAATGAACACATTGAAGAGAATATTGCTTATAAAATGTGTTGAAAGTAATTAAATTTGTATTTACATTTTATGACAATTGCATATTAATGGTAAATGAATTGCCTCGTACCCTAGGCTATTAGAAGGAAATGAAAATTGAAATTACTTTTTTGCAGGTTTACTTTTAACTCCGGCAGTTACCTGTACAAGAGAGTCGCTTGCTGAAATAACTGTAAATACGTGTTGTATATAATGAAGTGATTGCTGACAGTCGGAAGTTAAGTGTGAATGACATTCAAAGACAACAATATTGGAGCAAAGAAGCAGTGATAATATTAGTTCGATAAGTACAATGTACAGCTGTTTATTTCAAGAGTGTCAATTCGATTTCACTTTTCTTACCCTATGGAACCAGAAGAGTCCTTCGTGTGGCATGTTGAAAAGAATGTGAATATTGTAATTTTATATAATTTTATATTAAGACAAAATACAGAGATGCATCTCTTGTCTTCCAAAATATTGCTTACAAAAGTCTATCCTCAACCATTTGTGATTTCATTTTACCTCTCATCATGAAATTATTTGCACATTATTATAGAATTACGCGCAGTCAAATATTTGTAGTGGAGTATGGAGTAAACCGGCAAGTGTTTTTGTTTATCTCCATAATCCCTATTGAAAAACGTATTCTTACATATTACCACGTTAAATCATCAAGAAAAGATCCTTAGATTTTGTTGTGTCAAAGTGGATCATCAAAATATTTTTTATCAATACATAACTGCTCAGATAAAAAGTGGAAAATAGGTTTATTCAAAACGTTTTTTTCGGGTAAGCCGAGAAATGGCAAAAAAGAACAAAAACGAACGCAAAATAATATTTAAAGCATTTTTTTAAAATTTTGTTTTGTCAGAAAAAAACACAAGGTAATTGAATTTTTTAAAGTTGTATTACAATCCTGGAATTGAAAATTGATAAAAAATGAAGTTGAGAAACACTAAAAAAGATTTTGTGGAGAAAAATATGAAACAACTTTCCTCTTCAGAAACCTTTATATACGATTCGCAGATGGAACAAGGGATGAAACCGCCAGAAAAACAAACTCATTTCAAGAAAAATGGTTGCTTACTAGTAATGATGATCTCTATCGAATGGATGCAATTCAAGTGATGGGACACTAAATTTAAACAAATTATGCAAAAATTCAATTCCTCTTCCCAATTTAAGGACCTCATTTCCTTTTTTGCTGCTCGTCCTTTCCCTTCGTCACCATTCTTTAACTTGTCGGTTTCACGCTTCTACATTTTTTTTGCAGTTCCTTCTCTTTTCTACATATGTAAAAATGCAGCCTTTCACGGGCCTACGATATCAAATCCATTTTTTATGGCTTTAGGCTGCATTAGACCAACTTCATTCAATGAAAACTGATTAGAAGACATTTCTGCCGGAAGTGATGAGACCCTGCAAATGAAGCGCTCTCTTGTTGGTTACCTTGTGTTGTACATTACGCATTGTTGTCAGTTTCAGCTGTAGGAAAATGTTCTACACAGAGTGTCTAGGAAAGTGACTTCACAAACTCTTTCTATTTTCTTTGGTTAGTAATTCGTCGTCTTTTTATTTTTTGTCAAAATGACCAACTAATCGATATAAGTTCGTTTTTGGAATGTCGAATGCGTGGCAACTGACATCGCAATAAACTAACATCTACCTAACGTACATTTACGAGAAACAAACAAAATTTCATTTTCTGGAAACAAAATCCTTATTTTCCTGATAATCTCTCGGCAAGTACGAAATAAATATTATAATTATCATAAAAACAATTATTAATAGATTGTAATATTAACATATATTCTCGTCCAAACAAATGCTAAATAATGCCTCTACATTACATTTTGACATTTCTCTGTTTACCTAATTGTCACTATTCTTCAAGAACAAGCATTTTCGTATAACATTTCAGGGAAAAATAAAATATCATAGTAAAATCACGTCACACACAGTTTTTAAGTGCTTTTGACGTAAATAAAGTAAAATATCTTAACATGATAACATATAACCATTTAACAAATACTTTTCTTATGCTGCCATTTTATTTATCCTTAAAAATAGTAGAATTACGAACTATCAAAATCAAGTACACTCTTTTGGAAAGTAGTGTTACATACTTACGATTTTCATCAACTTCAACATGTGATTGCGTCAAGTGTAACGAAGAACTGCCAACATTACCAACACCGCACAAGAAAATGTACGTGACATCAATATGACTAAAAAAATTCTCTGTTTACGCCCAGCTCCCTCTTTACCCGACAATCACCTTTACTATTTCTCGTTCTTATGGGGAGGAAATCTAAGGTAACGAATGTTTCAATTTATACAAGTTTACCGAACGTATTCAATATAGAGACGATGAAGAGGAATTAATAATATTCAACAGATAAAAAAACTCAATATATCGATTTTCCAGTTGTCTATATTCACTGGAAATTGATTACCTAAAGTAGTATTATAATAACCTATTAGATAGAAAAAAACCATTTTATGACCAAATCAAAAGATTTAATCAAAATTCAAACTGCTTCTTGGTCTGGCAGATAAACTATGCATTTCTCGCATTTTTATTGTGGATAAAACGAAAGAAAGGTGCCTTATAACCAATTCATGTTTTCTAAACAAAATTGATTGACACCACAAGCGATCTACAATGGAAGCAATTTGTTATCGAAACCCAAATACGATAGAAAACGATATTTAACTTACAATATATTAATATTAATAGATTATATTATTGAGAATCATAATTAGGAATGCAATGTGCAGTAACTACATCTATTCATGGTACGTACTTACCATCCCATACCTAGATACTATTTGAATTCTTCATTACAATTCGGAGTTGTCATTTATAAGAATATGAATAACCAGAAAGTAAGTTCGCCAGACCATGACGTCCATACTACATCCTCAGTGTACGGCCACAAAAATGCTTAACTTTGTCCATTTCTACACAAAATCTGTAATCCACTAAAGCCTGCAGTAGCAAAAATCGTACTGAACGTCCGCCACCGCCTAGGAGCCCGCCAACCGCGGGACGGGGTTCCGCGACCCGCCACGAGAGCGCAGTGAGGGAGCAGCGATGCGCAATTGCCGTGGAGGGCTGCCAGCGCTGGTCGGGGGCGGTTGCCCCGCCATACCCCTCCCCTCGACTGGGCGGGGGAAAAGGGGCGAGGTGGGGTGACGGCCTGGCAGCTGATGAGCACGACCGTCGCGCCGCACGAGATCAGGAGGGTGAGAGCTAAGCGTACAGAGGAGTAAATTGGCCGACGACCCGACACATTTGTGTATTAGAACTGTTAACGAATTACTGGTGGCTTGGCAACGTTTTGGTAGATCTCCTGGATTAACGGAACTGTATTTTGGCTGATGAGTTCGGGACTGCGGATAGCAGTCGGATTAAAAGTATTTTGTTCCTGTATCTAACATTTCTTTTGATCCCTTTGCCTCCTTGGTCACAACAAAACCACACAAAATTTCTAATACGTAGCCTTCATAAGAATAACAAGAGCACAAGAACAACAAATAAAATACTCTCGTATAAACTCCAATAAATTACGTTTTTAGCAAAAGCAGTCAGCACAAATTCTACAATTACATAGTACAGTATATATGTGTGTACAGAACAACAGTTCTTTACATACCAAGAATAGAAAACAAAATAGTGTTTGGTGGCAATAGTGAATATGTAATAGCGGGCGCCCATTTACTTGGAGCCTTAATGTCATCTGTGACGTAAACCGACGTCCTGGCGCACTGTATATGAGAATTCAGTCGGTGCGGAACTTAGAGTGCTTTATTTCAATATAAAATGAAGTAAATGGTAATGGTCATTCATTTGCCCTCAAAAAGAAATAATGGACCTGATATCTGAAGTCTATTCAGTATAAACGTAAACTTAGTGTGAGCGTCTTTTTACTGTATTTACTGTAAACAATTTTTAACATAAGAAGTCGGGCAAAAGATATCTTGAAGAAAAGACTGTTTGAAATGGCTGAAAAAAGAATTTTTTGTTATAATAATGGCGTGTTTATATTGGCAGTAGTAAAATAAATGTTGACTTTGGATTACTCAAAGTACTAATTCAGACAATGTAATATTTCAGAGATATGTTTGCTAGTCAACAAAAAAGGTACACCTCACAATTCTACACTATTCATTAATATCATGGAGTTCAATCAGAATGTTTGATACAGTGTGGATCAAAGCTGAATGGTCTGTGAGTATCATACGTACACGTGCTAAACTTTCAGGGTCTTCTAACGAAAGAAACTAGTATCGCAGCAAGTTTTAGCAAACAATTAAATGCGTTTTTTAACTGATCAAGGTATACAAAATAAATATTTACAAAAAATAAAACGTACTGTAGTAATCAACTGTGGGGAGTGGCACCCTACTGGCATGTTTCCACAACTCGGTAGTGTTTAGAGAACGCTGCTAGGTGTCGTTGCTGTCGATACATCCAGCAGCATCTCGCCTGCAACTTCAACCCATACAAACTTTTCACACTTCGTGAAATGTTTCTCTAATTAAAATAGAATATGGAATAGTAATAATAATAATAATAATAATAATAATAATAATAATAATAGAATATGTATACATATTATATATTAAGGACTCGGAAGATTTCAAAGGCGACACGTTGGACATCGTTAATTACACATTTCTTTCCTTCTGACAATTAAATCTTGAGTATAGTCAATTACAGTATCTCATGCTCTAGTGTATACAATACCTTAAATACTTGTATTTCAGCTGAGGTTACCCTACTTTCCCACAAAAGAGATGATTCCTCAAGAATAAAAATAATATAAATCATTTCAGAAATTAGAATGCACAGGATTTATAATTCGTTATACGATGTGAATTGAAGATATGTTATTGAGCTGAGGTAACTTTTAATTCTCTATCATGATCATAATAATATATACCATTGTTTTTACAGAGAGGATAAAAACATGAATTTATGGTCTAAAAATACTTTAATATGCAATTAAAATTAAAAATATTTCATTTACTGTATAAATATTTCTTGATAAAATTCAAGACATTCATGCTTGGAATGAAGATTTATTTTTCATTACTCAATACATTTTCAATACATTTTTCATTATTTTATTTACTTTTATTCATTATTATCTATTGAAAAGAAGAAAAGAAACAAATGCAAATTGTGTCAAGATCATTCGAAATAATAAACGCTCACAAATACGAAGATCGTTTGAAAAGATTAAT